TGGCTCGGCTGGCCGCAACCAAAAAGTCGGGGCACTTGAGAACGATAATCCAACAAGAGATCGACCGCCCTAGTGTCGACGCTGAAGTGGTGGCAAACGTCAATGCCGGCCGCGCCGATCAGGATAATTCCCAAGACTGGCGAGCTGAAATAAAAGAGTTCCTTGTAAATGGAAACACGCCGACTGATCCGTCCGAAGCCAAACGGCTAAGAACCCAAGCCGGCAGATACGTTGTCATCGCCGACCAGTTGTACAAACGCGGTTTCTCTACCCCGTTACTCAAGTGCCTAAACTCCGCCGAGGCTGATTATGTGATGAGAGAAGTGCACGAGGGTATATGTGGACTGCATTCGGGAGCAAGGACAACCGTTTCCAAACTCCTACGAGCCGGGTACTATTGGCTGACCATGAACACTGATTGCGCTATGTTCATAAAGAAGTGCTTATCGTGTCAAAAGCATGGCAATTTGGTCCATCAGCCGGCCGAACAATTACATTGCATTTCCCCAGCATGGTCGTTCGCCACTTGGGGAGCCGATATACTCGGACCTTTCCCGGTCGCCAAGGGCCAATGCAAATTCCTCATCGTTGCCGTCGACCTGTTCACCAAATGGATCGAAGCCGAACCCTTGGCGTGTATTTCGGCCTATCAAGTCCAAAAGTTTCTATGGAAGAATATTATCACCCGTTTCGGTGTCCCACGCACTCTTCTGACCAACAACGGCCTTCAATTTACCGACCGAAAGCTAAACGAATTCCTAGCCGGCCTAGGAGTGCAGCACAAGGTCACATCGGTCGAACACCCGCAAACGAATGGTCAGGCCGAGTCAGCCAACAAGGTCATCCTCTCAGAACTGAAGAAACGTCTAGGGGAAGCAAAGGGAGCATGGGCCGAGCAGCTACTCGAGATGTTATGGGCATATCGATGCACCCCCCAGTCAACCACAAAGAAACACCTTTCCGGTTGGTCTATGGATCCGACGCGATGATCCCAGTGGAAATTGGAGAAACGTCATTCCGCCGAGCCAGGCAAGGAAGTTGGAACTGGCGACAACAGCTGGGATGGCGAAGTTGCCGCAACCCGATTGCTCCAGAGACAACTGCTTGGCCCGCTTGGTAGAAGAGCTCGGCCTCTCCAGCTCTATATTATGCTCGGCCGCCCTCACTCGGGAAGTGCTTCCTTTCTTTTTGGGGTCGGCAGCAAGAATCAAAACATGTG